GTGCCAGCCTCACACAGCGAGGCTGTGCCAGCCTCACACAGCGAGGCTGTGCCAGCCTCACACAGCCTGGCTGTGCCAGCGTCGAACAGCGAGGCTGTGCCAGCCTCACACAGCGAAGCTGTGCCAGCCTCTCACAGCGAGGCTGTGCCAGCGTCAAACAGCAAGGCTGTGCCAGCCTCACACAGCGAGGCTGTGCCAGCCTCTCACAGCGAGGCTGTGCCAGCCTCACACAGCGAGGCTGTGCCAGCCTCACACAGCGAGGCTGTGCAAGCGTCAAACAGCGAGGCTGTGCCAGCGTCAAACAGCGAGGCTGTGCCAGCCTCACACAGCGAGGGTGTGCCAGCGTCAAACGGCGAGGCTGTGCCAGCGTTAAACAGCGAGGCTGTGCCAGCCTCACACAGCGAGGCTGTGCCAGCGTCAAACAGCGAGGCTGTGCCAGCCTCACACTGCGAGGCTGTGCCAGCGTCAAACAGCGAGGCTGTGCCAGCCTCACACTGCGAGGCTGTGCCAGCGTCAAACAGCGAGGCTGTGCCAGCCTCACACAGCGAGGCTGTGCCGGCCTCACACAGCGCGGCTGTGCCAGCGTCAAACAGCGAGGCTGTGCCAGCGTCAAACAGCGAGGCTGTGCCAGCGTCAAACAGCGAGGCTGTGCCAGCCTCACACAGCGAGGCTGTGCCAGCGTCAAACAGCCTGGCTGTGTCAGCCTCACACAGCGAGGCTGTGCCAGCCTCACACAGCGAGGCTGTGCCAGCCTCACACAGCGAGGCTGTGCCAGCCTCACACAGCGAGGCTGTGCCAGCCTCACACAGCGAGGCTGTGCCAGCGTCAAACAGCGAGGCTGTGCCAGCCTCACACAGCCTGGCTGTGTCAGCCTCACACAGCGAGGCTGTGCCAGCCTCACACAGCGCGGCTGTGCCAGCCTCACACAGCGAGGCTGTGCCAGCGTCAAACAGCGAGGCTGTGCCAGCGTCAAACAGCGAGGCTGTGCCAGCCTCACACAGCCTGGCTGTGTCAGCCTCACACAGCGAGGCTGTGCCAGCCTCACACAGCGAGGCTGTGCCAGCTTCACACAGCGAGGCTGTGCCAGCCTCACACAGCGAGGCTGTGCCAGCGTCAAACAGCGAGGCTGTGCCAGCGTCAAACAGCGAGGCTGTGCCAGCCTCACACAGCGAGGCTGTGCCAGCGCCAAACAGCGAGGCTGTGCCAGCGTCAAACAGCGAGGCTGTGCCAGCGTCAAACAGCGAGGCTGTGCCAGCCTCACACAGCGAGGCTGTGCCAGCCTCACACAGCGCGGCTGTGCCAGCGTCAAACAGCGAGGCTGTGCCAGCCTCACACAGCGCGGCTGTGCCAGCGTCAAACAGCGAGGCTGTGCCAGCCTCACACAGCGAGGCTGTGCCAGCCTCACACTGCGAGGCTGTGCCAGCGTCAAACAGCGAGGCTGTGCCAGCCTCACACAGCGAGGCTGTGCCAGCCTCACACAGCGCGGCTGTGCCAGCGTCAAACAGCGAGGCTGTGCCAGCGTCAAACAGCGCGGCTGTGCCAGCCTCACACAGCGAGGCTGTGCCAGCCTCACACAGCGCGGCTATGCCAGCGTCAAACAGCCTGGCTGTGTCAGCCTCACACAGCGAGGCTGTGCCAGCCTCACACAGCGAGGCTGTGCCAGCCTCACACAGCGAGGCTGTGCCAGCCTCACACAGCGCGGCTGTGCCAGCGTCAAACAGCGAGGCTGTGCCAGCCTCACACAGCGCGGCTGTGCCAGCGTCAAACAGCGAGGCTGTGCCAGCGTCACACAGCGAGGCTGTGCCAGCCTCACACTGCGAGGCTGTGCCAGCGTCAAACAGCGAGGCTGTGCCAGCCTCACACAGCGAGGCTGTGCCAGCCTCACACAGCGCGGCTGTGCCAGCATCAAACAGCGAGGCTGTGCCAGCGTCAAACAGCGCGGCTGTGCCAGCGTCAAACAGCGAGGCTGTGCCAGCCTCACACAGCGCGGCTGTGCCAGCGTCAAACAGCCTGGCTGTGTCAGCCTCACACAGCGAGGCTGTGCCAGCCTCACACAGCGAGGCTGTGCCAGCCTCACACAGCGAGGCTGTGCCAGCGTCAAACAGCGAGGCTGTGCCAGCGTCAAACAGCGAGGCTGTGCCAGCGTCAAACAGCGAGGCTGTGCCAGCCTCACACAGCGAGGCTGTGCCAGCCTTAAACAGCGAGGCTGTGCCAGCCTCACACAGCGAGGCTGTGCCAGCCTCACACAGCGAGGCTGTGCCAGCCTCCCACAGCGAGGCTGTGCCAGCCTCACACAGCGAGGCTGTGCCAGCGTCAAACAGCGAGGCTGTGCCAGCGTCAAACAGCGAGGCTGTGCCAGCCTCACACAGCGAGGCTGTGCCAGCGTCAAACAGCGAGGCTTTGCCAGCGTCAAATAGCGAGGCTGTGCCAGCCTCACACAGCGAGGCTGTGCCAGCGTCAAACAGCCTGGCTGTGTCAGCCTCACACAGCGAGGCTGTGCCAGCCTCACACAGCGAGGCTATGCCAGCCTCACACAGCGAGGCTGTGCCAGCCTCACACTGCGAGGCTGTGCCCGCGTCAAACAGCGAGGCTGTGCCAGCCTCACACAGCGAGGCTGTGCCAGCCTCACACAGCGAGGCTGTGCCAGCCTCACACAGCGGGGCTGTGCCAGCGTCAAACAGCGAGGCTGTGCCAGCCTCACACAGCGAGGCTGTGCCAGCGTCAAACAGCGAGGCTTTGCCAGCGTCAAATAGCGAGGCTGTGCCAGCCTCACACAGCGAGGCTGTGCCAGCGACAAACAGCGAGGCTGTGCCAGCCTCACACAGCGAGGCTGTGCCAGCCTCACACAGCGAGGCCGTGCCAGCCTCACACAGCGAGGCTGTGCCAGCGTCAAACAGCGAGGCTGTGCCAGCCTCCAACAGCGAGGCTGTGCCAGCGTCAAATAGCGAGGCTGTGCCAGCCTCACACAGCGAGGCTGTGCCAGCGTCAAACAGCGAGGCTGTGCCAGGGATTGTCAATGTTGCGTGCAGGCCGTCGCGAGCGAGGAGGGGGTTCCATTGTTTACGCCCGGTGCCGCTGGCGCTGTTCCGAGGAGGGATTGTCGAATTCCGCGCAGGCTGCGCCTCATTGCCAGACACACGCACCAGCCCTCCCCGGCAGCCAGTCCTTATTATATTGTTTAGGATACGCGCTTCGTTTCTGGACTCGAGAGTAAAAGCGCGCTGACACCTTCATGTGTATAGTAGTTTTAAGTATGTTTCAAGTGTGAAGGTATCATTTGCTAAAAAATATGGAGACGCTTGACGCAATTTGGGATTTCGAACAAATGAGTGCCCAAAGCTCCACATTATTACCATCATGCCTGTAGAATTTTCTCCACGACGTCCTTCTCTGGCCTCGCCTGCAGGGTGGGCAACCCAACGGGCATTGGGCTGAGGCGATTAAAGTCCTCGAGAGGTTTTCGGCCTATAAATTGGCAGGACTGCGCCTCAAGAGTCAATCGACCATGCTGCTGCGCGAGAGTGTCATCCTGCTGTGCGCCCTGGCGGGTGAGTCACTGATCGAGAGTTGAGATTTAAAGTGGTGAAAATATTCCTCCGTTTCCGCGCATTTTGATCCTGTTTCGCGCGACTGTACGCTGTTTTCTTGGCAGGGGCGCTGTCGGTGCCGGCCAGGCTGAGGCGCGGCCTCGACGTGGGGCTGCAGATCATCGGCGGCGACACCGCGGACATCGCCGACTTCCCCTACCAGGTGCGTTGTTGGGTTATCGACATTCACTGCAGTCAAGTGGCAGAAGTTAGTTACCGTCTTGTACCTTTGAACCGCACCGCTATGAACAGCGGGACAGCCAGACAGCCAGACAAGCGGACAGGTAGACAGACGGACAGCCGGGCAGCCGGTCGACGATGACGGTCTAGGCCACCACGCTTCCGTCACGGGTCTATGGTTCGCGTCGTATGCGGATCGCCGCCGACGCGGCACTTTCTCAAATTCTAAAACGGGAGGTTGTTCTGGACAAGGTTGGGGTTTTCGGTCCGCTCCTCTTCAATTAAACCAATCAACCCAACCACCCTAACTAGAGCAAACTCCCGGCCGCGCTTCGCCACCTTGCTCTCTGTCCGCGTCCACGGCGAAGGTTGTCGAGGCAGTGTGTCACTGGCGCGCCATTCCATGAGTGCGGACGCGGCGGGGGCGCCGAGCCGAGATAAGTCTCAGCCGTGATTGCAAGATAAACGGTCCCGGCCACTTCATTTCCTTAAGTTACATAAAACACTTAAATACATATTCGTCATTTTGTCTGAATTTTTCAGTTAACTGTCTGTGAGCAGAGCATACTGCAAATCGAACTGTCTACTCAGTGTGTGGACAGTTTGCTAGTTTGTGGTGAACCCTGGACGATGACTATAGTAAACTTTACTTGCTGCAGGTTTCCATGGAGAAGTACGGCGAGCACGACTGTGGTGGATCCATCCTGAACAAGCAGTGGATCCTCACTGCGGCGCACTGCCTCTACAGGTGAGAGAGAGAGAGAGAGAGAGAGAGAGAGAGAGAGGAGAGAGAGAGAGAGAGAGAGAGAGAGAGAGAGAGGGAGAGAGAGAGAGAGAGAGAGAGAGAGAGAGAGAGGGAGAGGGAGAGAGAGAGAGAATGAGAGAGACTCACACCCACCGCCCTGCGAGTGCAGCAGCGTCAAGGCGACCGACGTGGGCGTGCGGTACGGCACCAGCACCCAGGGCCAGGGCGGCACACTGCTGGCCGCCAAGTTCGTCGGCTACCACGACAAGTACGTCCACGACCTGCACCAGCACGACGTGGGCCTCATCCAGGTGGACAAGGACATCGTCTTCTCCCTGCTGGCGCGGCCCATCGCCATGGTGGACGTCGACGCCGAGATCGACTCCTCCGCCGTCCTGATGGCCTCCGGCTGGGGTACCCTGCACGTGAGTAGAGTACACTGCAAAATCTCTCAATAACGTCGAGGAAAATTTTTAAAAAATAAATACAAAAATGAGGAATTAGTAAGTGAAGGACCGCGTTGAACGCTCGCACGCTCCGGCGAACGTGAAATCGGCCGTGAGTGCGACAAAGTCGAACAAAGTGGCCCCGCGACCGCGCCGCTCAAGTTCGCCCTGGCCAAAATGATTGCCCGCATTACACGGATCCGTTGCCTCGGTAAGTGGCCGAGAGGTTACTTACCGCCGTGCGTGGGGCGCTGCGGAGTCGCCTCCGTCGCTCTGTCTCTCTCGCACTCACGGGGCGTGCCTATGGGTGGGAGAGAGACAGAGCGACGAAGGCGACTCTCAGTGCGCTGGTGCTGGCGAAGCCCTTGACGGACTCGCGGCCACTTTCTTCCACTCTTTCCAGGGCAACGCGTCATCGGCGGGGAAAATGGAAACTTGACACTGATTATTTTGGCGAATTTTGTTTCCTCCAGTCCGGCGACTGGGAGGGCCCCACGCAGCTGTACGCCGTGCTGGTCCCCTACGTGCCGCGCGCCACCTGCCGCGTCTCCTACGGGTGGCTTGGCAAGGTCGTCGACGACTCCATGATCTGCGCCGGCGTCTCCGGCAAAGACACCTGCCAGGTGGGTGAGGTTAGACTAGGTTAAGTTGGGTTAACTTAGGTTCAGTTAGGTTCAGTTAGGTTCATCCTTTAGCATGCCTTTCTTACGGAGTGCGATTATCTGCCTTAGTTTGGAAGCACGCAAAGTTAATGAAAAGTCACAAATGTCTTTTGAAAAATCGTGTTTTGGGCCGACTTTAAGCAGCCACTGCGTCTGATCCGAGGCGGTATGTCGTCCTCCCTCAACGGGCATTTGGTCTTTGGACCTTCCTTTAGCATGGCTTTGTTACGGAGTGCGATTATCTGCCTTAGTTTGGGAGCAGTATTGACGAGAAGTGGATCAAAACGGTCTCAAATGTCCTTAAAAAATCGTGTTTTGGGCCGACTTTAAGCAGCCACTGCGTCTGATCCGAGGCGGTATTTCGTCCTCCCTCGACGGGCATTTGGTCTTTGGACCTTCCTTTAGCATGCCTTTGTTACGGAGTGCGATTATGCGTCTTAGTTTGGGAGCAGTATTGGCTCAAAGTTGATCAAAACAGTCAAAAATGCCTTTAAAGTCGCTTTTGATCAACTTTGAGACAATACTGCTCCCAAACTAAGGCCGATAATCGCACTCCGTAACAAAGGCATGCTAAAGGAAGGTCCAAAGACCAAATGCCCGTTGAAAAAGTACGAAGGCCCGCCTCTGATCAGACGCAGAGGCTGCTTAAAGTCAGCCCGTAGGGTTGCGAAATTTTTCCTGTGGGTCGCGGAAATATTTGGCTACAAATTTGGGGTCGCGAGCCGAAAAAGGTTCAGAACCGCTGGGTTAAATGAAGTTAAGTGATGGTCCCGGGACGATAACGCACTGCTTGTGGTGCTGCAGGGAGACTCCGGCGGCCCGCTGGTCAACGACCTGGGCATCCAGGTGGGCGTCGTCTCGTGGGGCCACGGCTGCGGCAGCCCCGGCTTCCCCGGCATCTACGCCGACCTGGCCAACGAGGAGAACCGCAAGTGGATCACGGACACCTCCGGCGTCGCGTAGAGCCCTCCCTGGCACCAAAGCGCCACTCGACACGCTCCATTCATTCCAAGTTAATGGTTAATAAAAATGTTTGTACTTTTTATTTCCAAGATCTTACTACGTTTATTGCCCTAGCACATTTCGCAAGGTTGTCACCCACTCAGTGCAGTGAGCACGTCCACACATCATGGAAACCTAACCTCTTGTTTGGATTGGGGGAAGCGGTTATAAATAGGTGCTCAAGGTGCGCTCAGGCAAGAAATGGGTCAACGGGACAAGGCGTCTTTTTTCTTCTTCACGGCTCATCTGTGGTCCTTTGGAGTCCTTAAACAGAGTTCATTCACAGGAGTGGAGCGGTGCGAACGTGACCCTCGGGTAGCAGTGCATGGCGGGGGTCAGTTGATAGCACCGAGAAATAATTATCGATGCACTTTCTGGCGGCCGGGTCGGATCCTCAGCCTCCTGGATCTGATCATTAGGAACCCAAACTCCCCCCCCCTCCAGGACGTCCAGAACCAGGCGTGTTCCCAGGGCTATCCTGGAGCATACCGGAGAGCGTGGCGGAGGGAGGAGGGGGGGGCTTCTATTTCTGGTTCCTTCCAGGAGACGACGACGAGTATGCCGTGGTATCGTAGGTCCTGCTTACAGGTGCTTCGTTTGCTGCGGCAGTAGCACACTGTAGGGCGGCGGCGGCAGCCGGAGCGTAGCGCCGCGTGCGTGTTAGTGCGTGCTCGCGCGTGCGTGTGTGTGTGAGTGTGTATGCCACGTCCCCGCCGGAGCGCCGCTAGGCGTGCTCGTGCCGGTGGTCAGTTCCTCAGTTCCTCCGGTTCTAGTCAGTGCTGGCGCTGCTGGCTGCCCGGCGCGTGGACAGGTCACCGACGGCGTCCTCCGATTCGAACTCCGAACTTCCCGCGCCAGACGGCGCCGCCAGACGCGTGGAGTAGCGCCAGCAGGTCGCGATTCGCACCCAGAGCGTCGTCGATACCCCCCGCCTCGCGACCGGTGACGCGGTGACCCGTCGCGCGGAGTACTCCCTCCCGGGCCGGGCGTCGAGATGGCCGTCAAGGCGGTTTAGCGTTTCCGCCCCGCGAGTGCCTAGGAGAGTGTGTGCACGCCATGTCGACGACGACGACCTGGCCGTCCTGCAGGCTGTGCGGGCGGCTCGGCGGCGCCGCGGTGCCCAGGACGCCGTCGGCGAGGCGGCGGCGGCGCTCCGCCGTGGCGCTCCTGCTCCTGGCCGCCACGATGCTCCTCATGAGGACGACGCCGGCCTCGGCGGCAGCAGGTGAGAGGGGCGGGCCGGCCAAGCCTTGCAGTCGCACAGTGCGCCAGAAGACCGGCCAGGCCGTCGAACAAAGTCCAAATGACGCCAAAATACCGTTTTGTAGGACGAAATTTTGATTCAAACCGGTCATAATGACCACCAAATGTCGACACGGCACGGCGAGCGTTTCTTGTTCTTTGGAGGCGGAAGTCGCAAGGCAGTTGTTACATTCTGATCCAAACCGGGGACCACTCCCTTTGAAAACTAAAGCCCTGTCCGGGCAGTCACTTTAGCAGTGTAGCGGAGCACGCGGTTCGCGCGTCACGGTGCCTGGGAGTGAAACCAAGAGTTTCTGCATGACGGCCCCTGGGCCGCATATGCGCAGAGAGATAATTATTGGCTCGAAATGGAAGAGGGTTGAACTCGATTCGGATCAGTCTCACACGCATTGTTCGATGATAGCACAAACGTGTTGCAAAAAAAAAGGGCAGAAAAAGCGCAAATATTTCACGTGTTTTGAGCCATAGCGATGCCATAATTGATTCATTTTCGAGCCGAATATACCGAATGGAATCTCGCTTAATATAGTTCATTTCGGTTCCAATATCTTTTTTTTTTTAAATTCATTTCGATTTGATCCGAAATTGCGAAATTTTCGCGCGCTTCTCACGATACTAGAGGGAAGTCCCACTGGCTTTTTTAGGGCGTTCGGAATGAGAAACGGACTTTTCGTTTCGATTCCGTTCCTCTGACCGGTTGACCGACGAAAATGGAACTGGCTGATCAACACGGGGCTCCTCCGCTTCCGGCTGGTCGTCTCGCCGTGGAAGTCGAGCAGGAAAGAGAATTTGGCGTGCGTGGCTCGCGCTGCGGTGCCGTGTGGTGCCGTGGTCAATGGCTGGAAACAAGGCCGGCGAAGACAGCCTGGCCCGAGGCTTTCACCCTCGGCTCCGGCAGAGTGTAGCAGTGTAGGCGCGCGCGTCATCACAGTGTGGCGTTACATGCTTCGGCCAAAAAGCTCGCGAAAGAAAAGGGGCAAAAATCGAGTTTCAGCCATCATTAGGCCGATGTCGGGAACGGTGTTTCTTTGGTGCTTTTGTGCGTTTGAGACAATGGTCCCTGCATCTCTCTGCGTCCCTCTCTCCTCTCTATGTTACCCCCCCCCCTCTCTCTCTCTCTTTGACTCTTTCGGCTGGCTGACTTGTTGATTCGGTGCCACCCTTGCCCGCTCGCTTCGGCGCCACTTGAAAAATCTCATTTCGTTCCCCGGTTAGCCAATTTGCCGGCAGACAGGAATCCCTGGCTTTACTCGAGACGGCCGCCCCGTCCCGCCCGCCTCCCTCGAGTGCCGCGTTTTGGCCGGACGGACGAAGAATCAACTCGCGAAAGTTTATGTTGTTGGCGGGGGCCGCCGCACTGTGATGTCAAAGTGTGGTAATGAATTCATTACGTTTAGGTCCGTTATCGTTGTAGTGGTGTGAAGTAGCATTTTCCAATCTTGAACAGAATGGCGAAAATTTCTTTGAATCAAATCAAACTAAACGCCTATTGATTCGATTCGGTCAGGAAAGTAACCGAACATGACATAGTTATGCCCAAAACGGATGATATTGGCACTCTCTCTCTGTTGTTTTGGGACCAACACACAATTCTCAAATTCCGCACGTTTGGTTCGTTTTCGAATGGAATCGGCCCAGGTTCGATTGGCTGTAACTGACGCGGTCCTCTCTCTGCCCCCAGAGGACGGCGCGGCCGAGGACGACGAGGAGGGCGGCGGGCTGCTGTCGCTGCTGCAGGCCATGGTGCGCGCCACGGCCAAGCGGCTGGGCTTCGGCCAGGCCGAGGAGCACGCCGGCGACGAGGACGCCGACGCCGCCGACCAGGACGACGACGAGGACGACGACGGCGGGGGCATGGCGCCGGCCGTGGCCGTGGCGGCAAGCGCCTCCAGCCCCAACCGGCGCGTCCGCTACCACGGCTACCAGCTGGTGCGCGTGCGGCTGCGCTCCAGGAAGCAGACGACGCAGCTGCAGCGGCTCGTGGAGCAGCAGCGCGGCGCCCAGCTGTGGCAGCACGCCCGCAGGAACCGCACCGCCGACGTCCTCATGCCGCCCGACCAGGCCGACGGCCTCAAGGACAGCCTCGACGACATGGGTCTGGGCTACACCGTGCTCAGCAGGGACGTCCAGGTGGGTGCGCCACCCGCAGTGGCGGAGGCGGCCAAAACTCTAGACGCGTTTTGAGCTCTATAGTCGCTGAACAGGACTCGAACCGAACGTGTGACCCCACCAATGGATTCCTCGGTCGGAGAGCAATCCATTGGTGGGGTCATACGCTCGGTTCGAGTCACGTTTAGCGACTCTGGAGGTGACACTGTTGTGGGGCTCCAGAGTGTGACCCCACCATTGGATTGCTCGCCGAGACGGCTTGGAGTCAAGCTTGGATTATATAGTGTACCTCCAATTATAGTGTAACAAAGTGAGGTGCGCGGCCAGCCCCTACTTGCGTTTGATGTCTCAGTGTGTGTGTGTGTGTGTGTGTGTGTGTGTGTGTGTGTGTGTGTGTGTGTGTGTGTGTGTGTGTGTGTGTGTGTGTGTGGCCGTGGCGCTTCCTAATCCGCTCCGGAATGTCTCCTCGCTCTTCTTTGACTCCATTGCAATTTCCTCGGCGACTCTCACACTCTCACAGGCAAAGACACTCACACACTCACTCACACACACACACACACACACACACACACACACACGCACGTTCTCTCAAAGAAGCTCGACGTACTCGACGGGCTCGACGTACTCGGCGACGTTGGCGCCACCTCCCGCGTGGCGCCGCTCCGTCTCCGCCGGTCTCTTTGCCGGTCTTTGCCGGTCTTTGACGCCCCGCGCACCAATCCCGTCCAATCTGCGTCGCTAATTTCCCTCGCGCTCTCTCGCACTCGGGGGGCTCTCTCGCACCCGGGCACAAAGGCCGAGACTTGGCGGAGCTGCCGCGTCTCTCGTTTTGCAGTGCAGGCGAGCTTGTGTCGGGCCCGGTCTAGCCCTTAGTGGTAATGGTAATGGAGCCACACTGCAGCCCGCTGCCCGGTGGGTTGCCTACGCGCCCGTTGACAGGGGCACCGGCTCGCTCGCTCACACCGTCGGTAGCGCGACGCTGCTGACGCGTTGGGTTGCAGGGTTAGAGTGAGCTCACGCACAGCAAAGACAAAAAAAATATCGTTATAATTCGGCAAAAAAAAAAACGGGGAAAATGAAGTTGGCTTGTTGGCGTTATGATTCCGGCACGCCATAAATCCAAAACAGCAGTAAATCTTGCGGCGTGGATTCGCAGCCGTAATCCCTCGCGGGGCCGACCTGAGTCGCGGAGATGAAAGGACGCCAAGGAGGAGGGGGGAGGGGGGGGGGAAAGCAGACGACGCATTGATGAAGGAATCGTCTGCCGCCGGTCTTGCGGGGCGCCGGCAGGGGGTTGGTGGCAGATCCAGGGTCTTCTCGTGTGCTCCCCGCGGTGTGTCTGTGTGTCTGTGTGTGTGTGAGGGGGATGCACGGATTCGGTTTGGCACCCCTTTGTGTACCGGGCGCGACCCCTCCACTCCACTCTATTGCACGCACGCTTGTCAATCCGAGAGAGGGAGTCGATTCCACCAAACTAGCGTGTCTAGTTGTCAGGAAATCATAAAGGTACACACACACGCGCGGCGTCTTTGCTTGTTGCGCGCGCACACACACACACAAGCACACACACACGCCGGGGTTGATCCCCAGCGTGTGAGCCGTAATGGCCTATTACCGGGAGCTTCCCCCTCGGTATTTGCGTGTGCACCATGTGCATCAGGCTGCGACGCGTCGACACCTTCTTGCTCACGTCGTTGCGATGCAGGGCGTGGCGCTGGCGTGCGGGTGGCGAAGGGTGGAGCAGAGTCGCGAGGGGGAGAGAGAGAGAAGGAGAGCAGAGCGAGAAGGGAGGACGCGCCTCGCGGTCCTCACAACAAAGTGGAGCTCGCCGAGTAAATAACTCGCAGCATATTTCGTCATCAGCGGGACTCCAATAATAACGACAAGTGTATCACTCCAGCCTGCCCCTTCTGTCTCTCTCTCGCTCCTTTTCAGGACGACAGAGTGCGAGAGAGAGAGACGGCCGCCTTTAAGGAGCAGAAACTAAGAAACTATTAAGGCGGTGCCCAACCGACCGCGAAGGCGGGCGGCATCATCTCCTAGCTGTCTCTCTCTCTCTCCTGGCCGGCCGGTTAATTTGCCGTCGTTTACCTCCTCGGTTGCCGCCCGGCCGAGCAGCTTTGCCTTCCGGTTTCAATAACAAACAACAACCCTTCCTCGTCGAGGGGGGCGGTGAAATGACGCATTCCGGATTCCCGGCCCCGGATTGAAACATTCTGCGGACCGATTCCGGGAGTCGTTTCCGTCGCTCTGTCTCTCTCGCACCTGCGCGGAACGTCCCACCAGTGCGAGAGAGACAGAGCGACGGAAACGACTCTCGGAGTCAGTCTGCTGAAAGGGTTTGATTGGGCGTCGCCCCGCCGGCCGCGCTGCCGCCGCTCGGCAAGAATGTCATCGGGAGCGGCGCGCCCCGCCGGATTCTCGGCTTATTACCTGCGTTTGCGCCGTTTTCGTCTCGTCGTTTCCCCGTTCGGGTCGCGGGCATTTTTCTTTTCGTCCGCCTCGTGTAATTGGGAATCTGATTAGAAAAGCGCCGGCCGAGTGATTGTGCGCGACTGTACTGTACTTTGGAAGCGAGTTTGAAAGGCAGTGTCGATGCCCCCCCCTCCTTTTCCAGGTCCGCGACATGGCGCGGCGCTCGTCTCGTGTTGGACGCGATTCACGCGGAGGTCGGAGAGGAGGTTCATTGTCCGCGAACACACATCCTCGCGGAGCTTCAGAAACCACATTCGGCCATTCTTTCATTATTCCTTATTCACAAAAGAAATGAAATAAAAAGAGAAAAGGAATGCTACCGCCGGCGGCGGGGTTTGAACCACAGCCGGGTTGGGGGTGTCTTTTTTTAGCAGATGATACCTTCACCGCACTTGAAACATACTTAAAAATACTGTACACATGAAGGTGTCAGCGTGCTTTTACTCTCGAGTCCAGAAACCAAGCGCGTATCCTAACAATATAATAGGGGCTGGCCGCCGGGGCGGGCTGGTGTGTCTGGCTGGCTGGCTGGCGGTGAGGCGCAGCCTGCGCGGACAATGGCACCCCCTACCCCCTCCTCGCGCGCGACGGCCCGCGCGCAACATTGACAATCCCTCTCCGCCTGCCACGTCTCAAAGGGTGGGTGACTCGGGCAGACCTCGGCTCTGCTCAGCTCGTGCCGGCTTCGGCGCCAGCTCGGCCTCGTTCGTTGAATGAGATTTTAAGAACTATCTTTGAAATGAGCCCATACTAATGAGCCCAGAAGAAAACCAAACGAGTATCATCTGCTTTCATTAACGTTCGTTGAATGAATATACGGCTTTTGGTCTGCCTCATACGGTTTTTTAATTTGCCGCATACGGTTTTTTGTTTGCCGTATACGGCTTTTGGTCTGCCTCATACGGTTTTTGATTTGCCGCATACGGTTTTTTGTTTGCCGTATACGGCTTTTGGTCTGCCTCATACGGTTTTTGATTTGCCGCATACGGTTTTTTGTTTGCCGTATACGGCTTTTGGTCTGCCTCATACGGTTTTTGATTTGCCGCATACGGTTTTTTGTTGGCGTATACGGCTTTTGGTCTGCCTCATACGGTTTTTGATTTGCCGCATACGGTTTTTTGTTTGCCGTATACGGCTTTTGGTCTGCCTCATACGGTTTTTGATTTGCCGCATACGGTTTTTTGTCTGCGTATACGGCTTTTGGTCTGCCTCATACGGTTTTTGATTTGCCGCATACGGTTTTTTGTTTGCCGTATACGGCTTTTGGTCTGCCTCATACGGTTTTTGATTTGCCGCATACGGTTTTTTGTTTGCCGTATACGGCTTTTGGTCTGCCTCATACGGTTTTTGATTTGCCGCATACGGTTTTTTGTTTGCCGTATACGGCTTTTGGTCTGCCTCATACGGTTTTTTATTTGCCCCATGCGGTTTTTTGTCTGCGTATACGGCTTTTGGTCTGCCTCATACGGTTTTTGATTTGCCGCATACGGTTTTTTGTTTGCCGTATACGGCTTTTGGTCTGCCTCATACGGTCTTTGATTTGCCGCATACGGTTTTTTGTTTGCCGTATACGGCTTTTGGTCTGCCTCATACGGGTTTTGATTTGCCGCATACGGTTTTTTGTTTGCCGTATACGGCTTTTGGTCTGCCTCATACGGTTTTTGATTTGCCGCATACGGTTTTTTGTTTGCCGTATACGGCTTTTGGTCTGCCTCATACGGTTTTTGATTTGCCGCATACGGTTTTTTGTTTGCCGTATACGGCTTTTGGTCTGCCTCATACGGTTTTTGATTTGCCGCATACGGTTTTTTGTTTGCCGTATACGGCTTTTGGTCTGCCTCATACGGTTTTTGATTTGCCGCATACGGTTTTTTGTCTGCGTATACGGCTTTTGGTCTGCCTCATACGGTTTTTGATTTGCCGCATACGGTTTTTTGTTTGCCGTATACGGCTTTTGGTCTGCCTCATACGGTTTTTGATTTGCCGCATACGGTTTTTTGTTTGCCGTATACGGCTTTTGGTCTGCCTCATACGGTTTTTGATTTGCCGCATACGGTTTTTTGTTTGCGTATACGGCTTTTGGTCTGCCTCATACGGTTTTTGATTTGCCGCATACGGTTTTTTGTTTGCCGTATACGGCTTTTGGTCTGCCTCATACGGTTTTTGATTTGCCGCATACGGTTTTTTGTTTGCCGTATACGGCTTTTGGTCTGCCTCATACGGTTTTTGATTTGCCGCATACGGTTTTTTGTTTGCCGTATACGGCTTTTGGTCTGCCTCATACGGTTTTTGATTTGCCGCATACGGTTTTTTGTTTGCGTATACGGCTTTTGGTCTGCCTCATACGGTTTTTGATTTGCCGCATACGGTTTTTTGTTTGCCGTATACGGCTTTTGGTCTGCCTCATTCGGTTTTTGATTTGCCGCATACGGTTTTTTGTTTGCCGTATACGGCTTTTGGTCTGCCTCATACGGTTTTTGATTTGCCGCATACGGTTTTTTGTTTGCCGTATACGGCTTTTGGTCTGCCTCATACGGTTTTTGATTTGCCGCATACGGTTTTTTGTTTGCCGTATACGGCTTTTGGTCTGCCTCATACGGTTCTTGATTTGCCGCATACGGTTTTGTGTTTGCGTATACGGCTTTTGGTCTGCCTCATACGGTTTTGATTTGCCGCATACGGTTTTTTGTTTGCCGTATACGGCTTTTGGTCTGCCTCATACGGTTTTTGATTTGCCGCATACGGTTTTTTGTTTGCCGTATACGGCTTTTGGTCTGCCTCATACGGTTTTTGATTTGCCGCATACGGTTTTTTGTTTGCCGTATACGGCTTTTGGTCTGCCTCATACGGTTTTTGATTTGCCGCATATTGTTTTTTGTCTGCGTAGACGGCTTTTGGTCTGCCTCATACGGTTTTTGATTTGCCGCATACGGTTTTTTGTCTGCGTATACGGCTTTTGGTCTGCCTCATACGGTTTTTGATTTGCCGCATACGGTTTTTTGTTTGCGTATACGGCTTTTGGTCTGCCTCATACGGTTTTTGATTTGCCGCATACGGTTTTTTGTTTGCCGTATACGGCTTTTGGTCTGCCTCATACGGTCTTTGATTTGCCGCATACGGTTTTTTGTTTGCCGTATACGGCTTTTGGTCTGCCTCATACGGGTTTTGATTTGCCGCATACGGTTTTTTGTTTGCCGTATGCGGCTTTTGGTCTGCCTCATACGGTTTTTGATTTGCCGCATACGGTTTTTTGTTTGCCGTATACGGCTTTTGGTCTGCCTCATACGGTTTTTGATTTGCCGCATACGGTTTTTTGTTTGCCGTATACGGCTTTTGGTCTGCCTCATACGGTTTTTGATTTGCCGCATACGGTTTTTTGTTTCCGTATACGGCTTTTGGTCTGCCTCATACGGTTTTTGATTTGCCGCATACGGTTTTTTGTTTGCCGTATACGGCTTTTGGTCTGCCTCATACGGTTTTTGATTTGCCGCATACGGTTTTTTTTTTGCGTATACGGCTTTTGGTCTGCCTCATACGGTTTTTGATTTGCCGCATACGGTTTTTTGTTTGCCGTATACGGCTTTTGGTCTGCCTCATACGGTTTTTGATTTGCCGCATACGGTTTTTAGCAGATGATACCTTCACCACACTTGAAACATACTTAACAATACTGTACACATGAAGGTGTCAGCGTGCTTTTACTCTCGAGTCTAGAAACCAAGCGCGTATCCTAACAATATAATAGGGGCTGGCCGCCGGGGCGGGCTGGTGTGTCTGGCTGGCTGGCTGGCTGGCGGTGAGGCGCAGCCTGCGCGGACGTCTCAAAGGGTGGGTGACTCGGGCAGACCTCGGCTCTGCTCAGCTCGTGCCGGCTTCGGCGCCAGCTCGGCCTCGTTCGTTGAATGAGATTTTAAGAACTATCTTTGGAATGAGCCCATACTAATGAGCCCAGAAGAAAACCAAACGAGTATCATCTGCTTTCATTAACGTTCGTTGAATGAGATTTTTTGTAAACCGCGGAGCTGGATGCGAGTGGACGACATGATGTTTTATTAGCTTCCTCGCCCACGCCCATCCCTACCACTCCAGACGAGGGGTGGGTGGGGTGCAGGGTACCTCCGTGGCGGTGGCTTGGCTGAGGTGGCGCGGAGGGGTGCGGCGGGGTGCGGCGGGGTGCGGCGGGGTGCGGCGGGGTGCGGCGGGGTGCGGCGGGGTGCGGCGGGGTGCGGCGGGGTGCGGCGGGGTGCGGCGGGGTGCGGCGGGGTGCGGCGGGGTGCGGCGGGGTGCGGCGGGGTGCGGCGGGGTGCTCACCCCTTCCTGGTCCGCGGGCGCAGCGCCAGATTGAACCTGTCTGCGTTGGCGCTCGGTCCGCCCCTCTGGAGACCCTCCCCGTGCACTTGTCGCCCCGTCGGCACCGCGCGACCGCCGCGCAAGTTTGCCGCCTCCCCGACGGCATGCCCCCTCTAGGGGCAGCGCGCTGAGGGATGGAGCCGAGCGAGACGCCGAGTCCCCCGTCGGCGGACATCGGGGTGCCCCCGCACGACGCCGACCCCGTCGACGGTGACCCCGCGGCGACCTGCGCGGTGCCTGTGGAGCCGGCCACGCCGCCGTCCTCGCCACCACGCCGCCGACGCGCGGAGGCCGACGTGGTGCCGCTGGCCACGCTGCTGGAGCTGCGGTCGTACCTGCGCGCCTCCTCGCAGACCATGGGGCTGGCCGTGACCGTGCAGAGCCCCATGACGGCCACGCACTTGTTCTGCTCGACGGCGCTGTGGGCGCACACGGCGACGCGCGCGCGCCGGGCGGGCCGCCACCGAGAGTGCCAGGTGTCGCGCGTCGCCGCCTTCCTGGTGCTGGCCGCGGCCGCGACCGTCTTCGGCGTGCTGCCGCTGCCGCCCTGGCCGCTGGACGCCGTCAGCAACGCCGTGGTGCTGTTCAACATCCTGGCCGTGCTCACGTGCAAGCTGCTGTGCCGCGTGCTGCCGCCGCGCTGCAACGTGGCCGTCATGATGGTGGTGGCCGTGGTGGGCTGCGGGCTCGCCGTCGTGCCGTGCCTCTACGCGCTCCGCGAGTACGGCCCCGTGGCCCTGTTCAAGACCCCCGAGACCGAGGCCGTGGTCCCCGTCCCCGCGCCGCCGCCTCGCCCCACCGGCAAGCCCGTCCGCCCCCGCGGCACGCCGAGGCCGAGGCCGCGAGGCGTGTCGCTGCGAGAGCGAGGCCGAGGCCGAGGCCACGCCGAGCAAGCTGGGTAAGGTTAAGCGCCACCTGTGGCACCGCGCCACGCCACGACGGCACAGTCCCCCAGTTTCCCGCCAACCGCGGCGCGCGGCGCGACGGGGCTCCAGACGGGGCTCCAGACGGGGCGCGCTGCCGCCTGGGAGGTAGGCCTCGCCACGCACAGCGCTGCGCGACGGCGGCCTACGCGCACGGCGCTCCGACGCGAGCGCTAAATTCACCCCTTCACCCCGTCACTAATGTCGTCTTCTTTTTTGTTCCCTCCAGAAAATAATCGCGTTCCAGAACCCTCCCCGGGCGGCGGGGCGCGTCAACAGGGTGCGCCGGAAGGGCCACCCCTACACCTGGAAGCGGTACCACCGCTACGAAGGTACGCCCCACGCCTCACAGTGGCCCAGATGTCGCTGGCGGTCCTGAGAACGGCGAGTGCCTTTGTTGCAGACATGACGAGCTACATGTTCTACCTGGCGTCGGCGTACCCGCAGAACGCGCAGGTCATCACCATCGGCTCCACCAGCGAGGGCCGGCCGCTGTTCGTGCTCAAGGTGTTCTCCAACGACGAGCTGCAGCCGCGGTCCAGGAACGCGACGACGACGCGCGCCAAGCGGGCCAAGCGCGCCAGCTACCACAAGCCGGCCATCTGGGTCGACGCAGGTAAACTGAGCTTTGGTTCCAACTGAAAGTGAGTCCCTGGCGGGTATTCGAACCGCGGTCCTCCCTGTTGCAGGCTCGCACGCGCGCGAGTGGATCGGCCCGGCCGTGGCGATGTACCTGTGCATGCAGCTGGTGGAGCGGTTCCTGGACCACCCGCACCTGGTGACGGACGCGGACTGGTACATCCTGCCCGTGCTCAACCCGGACGGCTACGAGTACTCGCACACGGTGGACCGGCTGTGGCGCAAGACGCGCTCCACGCCCGAGCTGGCCACGGGCCGCCTCTTCTCGCCGCGCAGCCCCTGCGACGGCGTGGACCTGAACCGCAACTGGGACTTCAACTGGGGCGACCGGAAGGGTGCCGCCGACGACCCCTGCAAGCAGACCTACGCCGGGCCCAGGCCCTTCTCGGAGCCCGAGGCCAGGGCGGCCGCCGACTTCATCCTGGGCCGCAAGGAGCGCATCCAGGTAGGGCGGGGCCTCCTTTGTTACGGAGTGCGACTAGCCGCCTTAGTTTGGGAGCGGTTTTGCAGCAAAGTTTGTCTAAACGGTAGCAAATGTGTGAAAATCGTGGAAATGATGCATCGCGTAACCCCTTTCTTTGCTGGCAGGTGTTCCTCACCTTCCACTCGTACTCCCAGATGTTCCTGCTGCCCGAGGACGCGTCCTTCCGGCGGCTGCCGGACCACCAGGAGCTGTACAACAAGGCCCTGATCGCGGCCAGGGCCATCGGGCGCGTCCGCGGCACGCGCTACCAGATCGGCACCGCGTCGGAGCTGCTGTACACCATCTCGGGTGAGTGACGCCTGCTGGGTAGGCCGCCCATCGCGCACCGCCACCGAGGCGAGGTGCAGTGCAAGTCAACGCAGTGTAGCCACAAGAAGAGTCGAAAATCCCCCCGGGAGATGCACCCATGAGAGGGTTGCCAACCTCAGCGTGCCCACTACGCTTTGCTCCAAGGGGTAACCAACTCAAGATTTTCATGTACACTGATTATATTTAGAGTATGATTACATGTGATTTCTTTTGATTATTTTATTATTTATCACTAATTATGGGAGTTTATTATGTTGATTATAAGGAAATATTGGGGATTATTAGAGCGCCGACCTCGGAAAGCTGTTAAAGTGTCGGAAATTCAATATTGGTAACTTTGGGCAGCCACTGCGTCAAATTTAGTTGCGGTCAAAGGCCTCCCTCGACGCCTTACTATTCTGAAGACCCTACTCTTTCATGCCCCGCCTCGGGAAAGCTTTGACCGCTGATAGTTTGGGAGCAGTGGTCTCGCAAAAATGGTCAAAAAGTGAATGAATTTCAGAAAATCACCGTTTTTGCTGACTTTGAGCGGTCACTGCATCCAATTTAGTTGCGGTCAAAGGCCTCCCTCGACGCCTTACTATTCTGAAGACACTACTCTTTCATGCCCCGCCTCGGGAAAGCTTTGACCGCTGATAGTTTGGGAGCAGTGGTCTCGCAAAAATGGTCAAAAAGTGAATGAATTTCAGAAAATCACCGTTTTTGCTGACTTTGAGCGGTCACTGCATCCAATTTAGTTGCGGTCAAAGGCCTCCCTCGACGCCTTACTATTCTGAAGACACTACTCTTTCATGCCCCGCCTCGGGAAAGCTTTGACCGCTGATAGTTTGGGAGCAGTGGTCTCGCAAAAATGGTCAAAAAGTGAATGAATTTCAGAAAATCACCGTTTTTGCTGACTTTGAGCGGTCACTGCATCCAATTTAGTTGCGGTCAAAGGCCTCCCTCGACGCCTTACTATTCTGAAGACACTACTCTTTCATGCCCCGCCTTGGGAAGGCTTTGACCGCTGATAGTTTGGGAGCAGTGGTCTCGCAAAAATGGTCAAAAAGTGAATGAATTTCAGAAAATCACCGTTTTTGCTGACTTTGAGCGGTCACTGCATCCAATTTAGTTGCGGTCAAAGGCCTCCCTCGACGCCTTACTATTCTGAAGACACTACTCTTTCATGCCCCGCCTCGGGAAAGCTTTGACCGCTGATAGTTTGGGAGCAGTGGTCTCGCAAAAATGGTCAAAAGAAGTGATTGAATCCCCGAAAGTATGATTGTCATTTCATTGGATGATGTTGATTATTTCACTGATTACCAACTAGACGTGCAATGATTATCTTGAGTTGGGTACCCCTTGCTTTGCTCTCGAGAAGTTGTCTTGTGGGTGGGCTGGGGTGGCAACCCTTTGGACCTTGGTGCATCGTGGTAATATTTCCCTACTTTGGTGGTCAAAACAGCCTAGGGAAGCGGCGCGGCCGGGACTCCCGCTTCTGATTTTCGAAACTTCGCGACTGACTGTTCCGTTCTGTTGGCAGGGAGCTCGGACAGCTGGGCCAAGTCGGTGGCGGGCATCAAGTACTCGTACACCATGGAGCTGCCGGACCGCGGCCGCTACGGCTTCCTGCTGCCGGCCTCCCTCATCAAGCCCACCGCCAAGGAGACGTTCATTGGCGTCAAGGAGCTGGTGCAGGCCATCGTCTGCAGGCCCTACTAGGCCCAACTGGAGCCCTTCTGGGCCCTACCAGAGCTCCACTGCAGCGCCAACCAAGTGGACGCGGCTAGGGGTGTGTCCAGGACGGCGTACGTCGCAAAAGTCGCCTGCTTACAGGGGTGAAGTGCGACTCTGCCTACCTTCCAAGCGGCGTCTTCACCACCTTCAAGGAGGCTACCCTCCCGCTCCCCCTCCCATGTGGCCGTCAGCCGTTGTGTGTGAACGGAAATGGACCGTTGGTTTTTCTACAGCAGGTGTGTGCATGTGTACATTTTGAGGAAAAATGTGGAGTTTTAAGGCCGTTCTCGCATCGTAAGTAATTGTTTGAAGTGGGACTTCGACGCGGCGCGGGGCGTCCAGTGATCAGGGGATTAGGTGTGAGTAATTTATTTTGTCCATGGATTTCGAGTTGTGGATGTCACTTTCTTGAAGTTGTCTCTGTTCTTTGTCAAGTAAGTTCATAAGGCCTATTTTATACAAAAGTGGATTTGTGCGTATTTTCGAATTCTATTTTTACACGATATTTTAAGTCTTAGTGGTGTAAATAAAATGCGGAATGTAACATGTTCGACCTAGTTATCCGTATACGTTTGTGTAAATTCCTTTTCTAAGGACATCGCATTTCAAAACTGGTGATCGCTTATGATTATCTCTGTCTTGGCACTCTGTGAAAACTTTTTTCTGACTTCTGGTGTACAAACCGAAGCGGACCGCAGTGCGGAGGGCCCCTCTCTTCCTGGTGTGCCATTCTCGATGTATATACACTAGTAATACACATATCGTCGGCTTTTAGTGTAGGTCCCTGCTAATTAATTCTCATTAAACTGTTTCTAAGCGCACTTACATTGCCGTTCTTGTCCCTCTCATGTCCCCCACGACACACACACACACACACACACGTGACTTTTTCCGACTGATAGCACACTGTATGCGGCGCTGGCGCCCTGGCGTCGCGCGCACTCCTGTTCTGTTTTGTCCGCCACAGTTTATCTTTGGCGTGTCGCTGGCTATCGTCGGACAGCGATCGCGACAGGGCCGGCATTGTTCTGGCCCAGATTGATCCAGCTCGGATTAAACCGCGATTATTCGATTATTGGAACGGGGTGGTTCCACGCGATATTGGCGCGGTCACGCGAGGCGGCGACAACGAGTGTCGCATCCACTTTCCTCCACTTTTAATTATTTTTTTCTCTCCTTTGACCTTATTCTATTTCCATGCGTTACTCGTGTCATCCCGTCCCTAGTTGTTGATCACTTTCCAGCCTTTCTCCTCTGCTGATGCTGCCTGGAAGTGGATGGGGCGGGGCGGGGTGGGGCGGGGCGGGGCGGGGTGGGGCCCACCGGTGGTGGGGCGGGGTGAGGCCTCCCCACTCGCGGCCGCGGCCCCGGCTCGGCTCTGGGCGCGGGGTCCGGCTGGGCTCGCGCGCGCGGGCGCTGCGCTCGGCTGCGGCCGGCTCGAGCCTCGCGAGGCCCGAGACGCTAAGAGCTGAGCTCTGCCGCCTGCCGCGCCGCGCCACTCCACGCTGCGAAGGGCCTTACTGCGAGCCGAGCCGAGCCGAGCCGAGCCGAGCCGGGCCTTGGCGCGGTGCAGTGGAGTGGCCCAGTGAGGTGCAGACGACCAACGTACCAAGGTGTTCCCACCTGCCTGTCTAGGCTTTGCCGCCGTGTGTTGTGCCGTGCGTGTGTGCGTCCGTGCGTATCCGCGTGTGTGGCACACTGTGTGCCGTGCTGTGCCGCAGACCCCCGCGCGTGTTTGCTGGCTGGCCCACCCCGCCAGTGCCGCCGCCGGCCGTAGTGCAACTGTCACTTGTTCACCATGCCGCCCCCAGGATAAGGCGAAGAGGGTCCACCCCCGCCGTGACCACCAGCCCGGCGCCCCTGCAGCGCCCGGCCGCCAGTGCTTGTGTGTGTGTTGGTGTGTGTGTGTGTCATTGTGCGCGCGTCGTTTTGTGATTCGGTTGGTGTGCCGACCGGAAGAGGTATATGTAGTGGTGGCTCGCCGTGCGCTTACCTTGTGCCCGCGAGACTCACCTTGACACCTCGACACCCACCGCCACCGCCGCGGCGGCAGCGGCAGCAGCCTGCTGGCCATACACCGTTCGCTTATTTGTGGATTACCTTTCTGGAACCTGCCCGGCCACACCGCTCGCCTGCACTGGCCGCCCCGTGAAATGTAAGTTGTTGTTTTGTCGTTGTTGCTGAGGTTGTTGTTGGGAACGGGGTTGCCTACCTCCTGCTGACGTCAGCCGGGCGGCCTCTGCCGATTCGCGCGTTCCCCTTGTCAGGAAGGCACTTTCCCGTTGGCCTGCCGTGCCCTGCCCTTGCAGTGGCGTGGCGTGCCCGCGTCTGGGTTTATCAGCTCCAAAATGTCCTGGCCTGCCTGGCGGCGTCTTGTTGTCGCGTTCCGATCCAACGACGTGGAGGGCGCAGCCAGTCCACCTGTGCAAAACAATGCGCGTGAGCCCCGCCGCCACCCCGCCCCGCCCCGCGGCCAACACGCGCTGGCCCCGCCGGGGGCGCCGAGAGCCCCCCACCAGCCCCGCCGGCCCCGCAGCCCCTCCGCCGGTCGGCCAGACGGGCAAGTTCAGAAATCGCGTAACCCTTCGCCGCGCGGCCTGCGTGCGACAAATGTTGTGAGGTAACAGGCTGCCATCGCACGGCGACGAGCCTCATTGCACGGGGGAGGGCGGGGCGCGCTCGGTTCTCGGTGAGCCTTTTTGGGGGCCTTGTGGAAGAACCCCAGCCCGGCTCAGCCCGGCCTGGCCTAAGGCCTGGCCGGCACAGCCCCGGCAGCACTGGCCCCGGGGCGCCGCGGGGGCCCGGCGCGCCCGTCCGCCCGTCCGGCCAAAACGCCTTGATCGCTCGCGCAGCACCGCGGCACCGCCACACGGCCAAGGATGCCGATGCGACGCCAGCCAACCGCTCCACGACGGGCACCTCTGACGGGCACCTCTGACGGGCACCTGGCGTGCCAGACTTTGTCTCGGGGAAATGAGCGGCCCATGTTGACTCGGAGCAGACGATGGACCGCTCGCCGTCTTGGTCGCTCTGTCTCTCTCGCACCTGCACGGCACGCCCCACGAGTGCGAGAGAGAGACGACTCGGCCGGGAAGCCCTCGTCCAGAGCCGCGTGCGTGCGACCGCCCGTCTGCCGCTGCTGCCGCTGATACGGAATACGGGGAGAAGATCCCGCTGGTGCGAGAATCCACTCGCCTTTTCGGCGACCTGCGAGGCCTGCGAAACGTCCAACCAAACCCTCGGCCCGCGCGCCAATGCCTCGCGGGGTGTGGGATTTCCCCGCCGTGCCCTGCCGTGCCATGGTCCCGGTTCGAGCGAGACAGGTTCTCTCTCTCTCTCTCTCTCTCTCTCTCTCTCTCTCTCTCTCTCTCCTCCAACAAACACAGTAACAAAAACACATACATACACTGCCCACCAACACACCCACACGCGCGCGCGGGTCGCGGGGGAGCGCCGGCGGCAGGCGGATGGATCACTGTCGCCGTGCTATCTCTCTCCTCGAGTGCGAAGTGGCGAAGTGAAGCCATTTGGAGTGGCCTGTCCGCGCCAAGCCAAATCACAAGCGCGCGACGTCAATACGCGATTCCGACGCGCGGCCAGTGCCAGCGGCAAAGCCTTCGGCAGCGCGACTCGCGGCCGCCGCGACGACCTAACCTCACAAATTTGTGTCGCGTCTGCGCGCACCCGCGGCGTCAGCAACCAGCGGCAGCACGCGGAGCACGCGGCAGTCACATCGGTATGAGAAATTCAGCATTCGTTGGAAGTCCCGGCCGTGCCGCCGCGGGCGGGGTCGCAGTAGTACTTACCAGCAGCAGGCCGGACAGTGTGCTCCCCGTCGTCGCGCTGGCTCCCTCGCGCACCCCGGCGGGCCGGGCGGGGCGGGCGGTGCGAGAGAGACGGTCGGCGGGCGCCTGCATCGGCGCTAGGCGGTGGCGCAATGACTTCCCGGCCGAGTCTCTGCCGGGCTCTGCCAGCCAGGCTCTGCCCGGCTCTGCGAGGGCAAGCGCAGGGCGGATCCAGAATGTTTAGCATACCTTTCCGGCGGGCCGGAAGGACGGGCCTCGCTCTGACGTCCGTGTGTGTTTCGAAAATGTGCGACTCCTTTCTTTATCGCCCTATGCAACCATTGTTGTGAAATTATTGTTGATGGATGGTGGTGTCTGTACGGGTGTTTTTGTTTTGTTTTCTTTTTTCGCCCCGTGGCGGCGGGGCGGGGGCTAGGTGCCGCCGTGGCGGCGGGGCGGGGGCTAGGTGCCGCCGCATGACGGGTCGGGTTTGTGCGTCTGTCCAGTGGCGCGGGGTCGAACGCCGCGCTCGACGCGCACGTGGACAGGGGGCACTTTTTGCACGTGCCCGCACGCGCTCTCTCACACACACACACGCACCAACACACGCAAACAGTGGCATGCTCGCCAATTACGAAGTGAACCAGATGCGGTGACGACATTGCGTCGGGCACAGAGTAAAGTCGTGGCGGCGTTTGGGGAGGTGTAGCAAGTTGCAGAGCCGCCGCCCCACCCCGCCGTGCCTCCCCTCACCCCGCCCCGCCTCGCCCCACCACACCCCCTTGCTTTCGGTTTACGTTTAATAGGTACCCGATAACGGGTCCGTGGCGGGCGGTGGCGCCGTGCCAGTGGCATGGACTCCGTCTCGGACTCCGTCGCCGGGAGTCACCCTGCGTCGTTGTGTCGTTGTCACCGTCGCGGTGGTCGCGAAAGTGTGCCGCCACACCGGCAGGCCGATCAGTCGCCCCGTCTCTCTCGCACCCACACGGGACGCCCCGCGAGTGCGAGGGAGACGGGGCGACGAAGAGGACTCTCGGAATCCGTCTGCGGCGGCGAGGTGCTCCCCGCTGCTCGACGCCGAGGATCGTGTCGACTGTGTTATTACACTGTCACCGGCGGCCCGCTGATGCCGCACACTTCGCCCTGTCTCTCTCGCACTCAAGGGGCGCCCAGGCAGTGCGAGAGAGACAGGGCGACGAGGTGGTCCCGGTGGCCACCATCACGCGCCGCTGGTTCATTATCAGCCGGCGCTTCTTGTCGCCCTGCAGGCAGGCAGTGAGGCCCTGCAGCGCTCTCTCGCACTCGTGGGGCGTGCCGTGTGGGTGCGAGAGAGACAGAAATGACTCTCTCGTCGTGACGTCATCTCGGTGCCAGTGACACGCATCGCACCCAAGGTGACTTGCTTCCGAAATTCGATTTCTGCTTGCCGTCCCCTCGGGCCCCTCGGGTCCCCCGGGGAGTGACGCGTGTAAACCTCGCCGTTCGCGAGATAACACGAGTCGGAGATCGCCGTCCGCGGCGGCGCGGCGCGGCCCGGCCCGGCACGACGGGGCGTCCAAGGGTGCCCCAGGGGCAGCCCGAGGCGGAATGGTGATCGCGGTGCCCGGCGAGACGGCGCGCCCTCGGACCGCCACCGCGGCCATCTCCGCCGTCTCCGCCGTCCCCGCCGTCCCCACTGGATCCGCGCCTGGACGGGGCCAAGCGGGGCCGGCAAGTGTGTGTTTGCGTTTTGCATGCCCGGCGCGCGCCAAAGCGCAGCCACTTCCATTGTGCTGCCGGTGCTGCGCCCGGTGCTGCGCCCTGCAGCCTGCAAAACCCTGACGTGATCTGCTTGAGATTCCCCGCACGCCCGCGCGCCAAACCCACCCACGCGCCGCTGTCAGGATGAAGAGTAAAAACGAAGTGGTGGGAAAACCGCCGAACACGGAGGAGCGGCCGAGCAAGTATCAGAAATGAATCGAGTGAGACGGAGAAACAAGTCAGCGAAAAGTAAACAAGTGATTGAGGACTGAAGGGGTTTAGGGCGTTTGGACGGTTGGCGCGCCGCCGTCGCTTCGCTGTGATTGGCTGGCGCTAATGAGCCCCGCTTCCGTCTCCGGGAGCCCCCCTTCCCTCCGCACGCGGCGTTACTAAAAGTCCCCATCGGAATGGAGCGAGACACGGCGCGGCGCGGCACGGCGAGGCACATGTAGGTCAGGCAGCCGTCAGGCGGGCACGGCGGCCGGCGTCGCCTCGCCCAGGAGGCCTGACAGAGGCCTCACTCACACACGCGCGCTGGCGGGGCGGCGGGGCGGCGGGGCGCGGCGGGGCACGCGGACTGGGTCAAGGCCGCCGATTCAAAGCAGCGGCAGCGCCCTGCCGACAATGAGCGCTTCATCCCCCACACTGCCTCGCTCTGTCTCCCTCGCACTCCCAGGGCGCCCCGTGTAGGTGCGAGAGAGACAGACGATCGAGGACGACGACCTGCCGAAGAGGGCCGCTGAATTTCTCATCCTCGGCGAGTAGACTTGCGCGGCTGGTGGCGCGGGCCGCGGGCCGGGGGCCGCACCCACAGCGCACTCTCCACAACACTTTCTGTCTGCTCGCCGGCCGTGCCTGTCTGTCTGCCTGTCCGCCCGTCCGCCCGGCCGGCCGGCCGTGGAGCGTCTCTACGATCTGACGGACTGGCGGCGTGGAGAAATGGCAGCCAGTGCGGAAGGCGAGAAGGCTGTTTTGCATTAATCGTTTTGTTCGGTGCGTCGTTTGCAACGAGGCGGGAGGGAGATCGCGGCCAGACCCAGTGCACCCCGACGCACTCGGCACCGCTCGAGATGACGAATGGGCGACTGGCGACACGCTCGATCGTAAACGACGCTTCCTTGACTGAGGCACCATCAAAACGAGCTGCGAATAGGAGTCCAGGAGCGTAAAGATTGAAGGCCACTGGAATAACGTTTAGTTACTGCGCGGAGGCTTGTATCACTGGCACCCTGAAATACACCCTGTGAAAAGAAGTCTCCAGAAGTCTCGGTGCAGTAGGCAGCGTCCTAAGGGACTGACACCGACCGTCTGAAGAAACGTCACTTTGTTCTGGTGGAAGTAGGCTGACTTCAACTTTGCTGAGAGTGTGCCGCCGCATCGTCATCGTCGCAAACACCCCTCCGGCCATCCCGCCCGCCGTCCGTTGGACTATAAACGTTGCCGAAATTAAATCTGCCTAATCAATGCGCCCCAACTTTCGCCCGGCCGCCACCTCGTCCCGCTACACTTCCGCAGTGGCTCGCACGGCACGGCACGGCACGGCACGGCACGGCACGGCACGGCCCGCGAGGCTGAGACTGTCGAGTGATCCGTTTCATCTTTCTTTGCTTGTCTCTTGTTTGATCCGCCT